GAAGGGGGACTGTGTAAGCATTTGTACCCTTCCCCACCCTGACCAGAAAGAGGTTTTGCCCCGTTTCGTTGGCAAGAGGAAGAGGTGGTGTTCAAACATCTGCTTCCGTGTCCCGTGGGTCATTCCCCAGACCCTTTGCTTTCCCAGCTCTGCCAAACTGTGCTTCTCCACAGAGGAGACCCCGTCCCCGGAGCTCTCAGGCCCGTGGGCGCCCGGTGCGGGGTAGCGGGAACGGGGTTGGGGGGCAGTGAGGACCAGCAGCGCGAGACACCCGAGGCCAGGTGAGCAAAGACTGAGCCAGACTCAGCTCTGTCATGTTCTTGGCCGCGGCTGGGCTCCGGGTCGTTTCCATTCAGTAAAGGTGCGTCCCTCCCAGGAACACCGTCCCCACACCTGCTCATCGGCCATAGCCGCTGAGGTTGGGATGCGCATCCGGGGGTGGGTCGCCGACACACTCGGCCTTCCAGGAGGACAGGTGAGGCGCGGGGCAGGGGCGGCCAGCGTGCGTGGGCCGGGCGCTGCGGGTGGCAGGTGCAGCGACGGCCCCGGCCCCGTCCTCAGCCCGCGGGGCTGGGCGGCGGCGCTCGAGCGCCCCCTGGCGGCCACCGGCCGTTCCCGTCGCTTCTCCTTCCGGCCGTGGCTTGCGCTGGGCAGGTGCTATACTCGCCCCATTTGACAGTTAAGGAAACTGAGGCTAAGGTGTGCACGGTGGAAGTGACTGAGATGGACGTGCAGTCGGGTCTTTGCACGGTCATCACCGAGTCCAGGAGAGCTGACCTCAAGATGTGTCCACGAGGTGTGTGTGGAGCTATCGTGGGCCCAGCTGACCTGACCCCTCCCGGGAGCGGTGCCGAGCCCTAGGTACACCACTTTGGGGAAGTCACCAGCAAATGGCACATCCGGACTCAGTGGCCAGGGCGGGGGAGGACTTGGGGGCAGGAAGGCCACGAGGAGGAGGGTTGGGGCTCCCAGCTTCCGAGGCCGCGGTGTCCCTGTGGTTGGGGACAGACTGTGGGAGCAAATCCCCCCTGAGCACATGACCACAGAGCTGCAGGCCTGTGGGGGGAGGACGAAGCGAGCGTGGAGGCGTGTCCCCCACCCCTGGCTGAGGAGGGACAGACTCCTGACCCCAGCAGGGGAGGAGGGAGGCAGTGCCAGGCAGGCGGGGGCAGGTGTGCCTGGGAGACCTTGGTTTGGTTTGCTTGCTGCTCCCCTGCATCTCTTCAGGTGTTTTGACTGTAGTGGATACCTCTCCGTTGGGTGGACACTGAGACCGCCAGGGGTGGGGAGCCCATTCCCGCTCCTGGCACCCTGCCTGCTGGGTGCTGGGCAGTCACCCTCCCCTTGTGGAAACCGAGGCACGGGCTGTTGGAGAGGGAGCCTGGGCTTAGATGCTCCAGGAGGCCAGGGTGAGGGCAGCAGGGCCAGGGGAGAAAAAGGGAGACAGCGGGATGAGTGGGAGGAGCCAACGCTGCGCCCCAGAGGGGCGACGCGGGTGGATGTGGCCAGGCTCTCCAACCTTGCCTCCTTCTGTCACTGGCTGGAGGGGCCAACAAGATGACCTTGACCGGGGCTCCAAAGCTGGGACCAACCCTCCCTCAGGGTAGCCATCAGCTGACCCCCCTCCCGGTGCCAGGCAGCACTCTTCTTGAGAGGCTGGTGTCTGGTTGGTCACAGTGGCCTGGCCGGACCCCCGCCAGGGGTGGAGCAGGGCCTGAAGCCAGGTCTGGGCCCCACAGCCCAGGGCTCCCCCAAGAGGCCGCCCCAGCATGGGGTCTGCCCCAGGGAGGGGGCTGTAGGCTGCACGGACCTCCCAGGCCTCCCCCCACAGTCACCCAGTGCAGAGGGGTGGTCTCCCAGCCGTCTGGGCCTGGACCCCAGTAAAGACTGGGTGGAGGACTCAGGCAGTCCTGTCCCCCCTCATCTGGCGTTCAGCAGAGCCGCCTTGAAGAGGAGCCTCCGTGCGATGGGCAGGAGGCAGCTTGGAGAGGAGGAGGCAGGGTGGGAAGGCCCCTGCTTTCGTCAGGGTGACAGTGTTGGACCCGAGCCTCCCACTCACCTCCAGCCTGTCCTTGCCTGCAGCCCAGGCCCAGTGTGCTGGCCGCAGGGTCGCTCTGCCCGCTGGTGTCCGTCTCCTCTTTCCTGCTGTGCCCGCAGGAAGGGCCGGATGCAAGCTTGGGGGTGCGGGGGCCTCCCTCAGGATGCCCGGGTGCTCGGGCCAGGCACAGAGCTCCAGGGCCGCTGCCCCTCTGCTCCCATCCCCACTTTCCCCTGGCTCAGGGGTCCTGAGGCGGACCCAAGGTGACAGTCACTCAAACCCGGCAGTTCTCTCCTTAAAAACCACTGAAAAGAAGCCGAGTCTGGTCCTGTGTTGGTCCATTTCCATGCGGTCGCAAAGCAGCTCAGCCTGGGGGCTTTGGTGGGGGCTTTTTCCTAGCTCTGGAGGTGGAGGGCCCCCCCCCATGACTACTCACCTCCCAAAGTCCTTCTCATGGCAGCACGGTGGGGGGTGGGATTCACCTACGAATTTGGTGGGGGGCAGACATTCTGTCCAGAGCAGTTCCGTGTCATGCTCGCCCTTGAAGCCCCGACTCAGTTGCTGGGGGGCGGGGATGGATGTCTCCCTGATTTTTCACTCAGCTTCTGGAACGGCCCCCGCTGCTGCAGGTCCTGGAGAGGCCTGCACCCGCGCCACCCTCCAACCCGACCCCAGGAAGGGCTCGTGGGGCCAGAGGCTGCCCCGTCGGGGACCAGGGCCGCCCCACCTCCAGAGTAGGTGGCAGGAGCCGCCCCAGGTCACCCAGCAGCAGCTCTGATAGCTCGTCGGGACGCGGGAGCTCCTGAGCCCCAGTCCGGTGTCCAAAACGCCGGTTCCAAGAGCCCGCCGCCTCTGCCTCCCAGCCTGCAGATTACCTCCTTGCTCTGAGCACGGCTGGCTGGGGCGGACGGGGAGCTCGGCAAGGGCGAGCACCTGCTGCGTGCGCTGCGCGGGGTGCTGCGGACACACGGAGACGTGCCGCACAGCGTTGCCCGGCTGAGCGCGGCCTCCCCGTCCGTCCGTCCGTCCCCAGAGCACAGACTAGCCCTGCAGACAGGCGAGCACATCTTCTGGCTGCTTCGAGTCCCACTGCTTTCCTTCAGCGACACAGCCGGACAGTCTTGTTCTAGGCTTCCAGGGAGCTTTTTGCAGCCAGTCCCCAAATGCCCCAGCAAGGCACCCGCACCCGGAGGCCAGTCTGGGGCCGGGCCCCCCCACCCCCGGGTGGCACCAGCGGCTGCTTGCTTCCCGAGCCAAGGCGAGCCTGCTCCTCAGACAAGAGTGAAGGGACCCGAGAAGCCCAGGGTGTCCTGCGGTTCCCCAGCTACGTGTCCTTGTGGAGGCTCCCAGCTGAGTAAGCTGAGGGATGGGGGGGTCCCCGGACAGAGGGCACAGCCCGCAGGGGTCCTCGTTCGCCAGCCGGGTCTGCGTAACAGAGCACCCCCGGCGGGGTGTCTGAACCCACAGAAACGTGCCGTGTCTCAGTCGGGGGGGCTGGAAGGCCGAGATCAAGCTGTGGGCAGCTTGGCTCCTACTGAGACCTCTCTCGGTGACCTGTAGACGGCCGTCCTCTGTCTGGGTCTTCATGGTCCTCCCTGCCTCCGTGTCTGTGTCATAGTCCCCGTCCCCACGAGGACACGGCCCACCCCAGTGACCTCGCCGCCCCAGGACGACCTCTTGAAATGGTCTGCGAGGAACGACTCCAGCTCAGCTCGCCTGCCATGTTCCTTACCCGTTTGTCTCCTTTCCTCCGCACACAGAGCATCTCACTTCGGACACCGCTGGTCCCAGATGTGTGGGCTTTCCCGCCAACAAGCAATGCTGTGCCACCAGGCACGTGTCCCACGACTGAACTCAGTTCTGACGCTGGCGACCCAGGCATCGCGCCTTTCAGGGCTCAGTCCCATGAGACGGCCCCCCACGTCAGACCAACAACTTCTGCCGACTTGGCCACAAATCGGGGAGGTCCCATGATCTCTTCCTCGGGGAGGGGGGTTAATTTGCTGGACTCGGGGAAGCCCTTACTCGGTTGACCAGCTTATTACAGGCGGTGACGACCAGCTGGAGGAAGAGACGTAGGGGGCGAGCTCCAGCACCACGCTCCCCACGCCTCCAGAAGCTCCCCGATCCCCCGGCTCTTGGGATTTTATGGAGGCCTCATCACATAGACGTGACCGGTCACTAAGTCCATTTCCAGACCCTCTCCCTTCTCCAGAGAGAGAGGGGCAGGCCTGAAAGTTCCAATCTCCTAATCGTGGCTTGGTCTCCCCGTGACTGGCTCCACCTGGGAGCCTGCCCAGATTCGCCTCGTTAGAACAAGACACCCTCCTGTCACCCAGGAAATGGCAAGGGTTCCAGGAGCCCCACTGGTGTCAGGAGCCGGGGGCAGAGAGACCAACGTCTGTTTGCTATAACCTCGCGGACCCTGTCTCCAAATGAGGTCACGTTCCGGGGTACTGGGGGCTAGGACTTCAGAGAGGACACAAAGCAACCCCAGCTCACCGCAGCTCCGAGTTGCCATAGTTACCAGCGTCAAGCGCAGGGAGCTCATGGTCTGGGCAGGGGCCCTGGGTCCCGCATGGAGCAGTTCCCCATGTCAGAACCCCGGCCCAGGCCACACCGTGCCCAGGGCTGTGCGATCCCCTGGGGATGTGCAGGATGCCTGAGTGCTTGGGGCAGGCGGCGGGCACGGGACCGGGAGATGGGTTCTCGCACAGAGCGAGTTCGGGTCTGTTCCTGGCCCTGAAGTCCCTCTGCAGGTGCCCAGGCAGCCCTAGACGGCGATTTGCCTTCTTTCCTGTGGGCGGGGGAGGGGGCAGGGCAGGGGGTGGCTGCCACACCCCGTCTGCCGCCCCTGGAACTCCAACCTGCCAACGCCCCTCCTGTCTCAGGGGGCTGGGGGTGCAGAGCCCCCCTGCCTCGGGGATTCCCAATTTCGCAAATAAAAATACAACACACGCAGTTAAATTTCAGCTTCACGTTGTAGTAGAAGTGTTTCCCGGACGGTGCACACAGGACCTGCCTAGACCCACCATGGCCTTTTTCTTTGTCAGAGCAGGGGGTGGGAAAGACCTCTGAGGAATGTGCAGGCAGAGACCCGCATGGGGGGAGGTGGGGGAGGCGCGTGCCAACGGGTCGTCGAGCTGTGGCCTCACGTTCTGGGGTGAGCTTGTTGAAATGCACCTTCCGGGCCCTGCCTCTAGCTGAGTGGGCGTGGGGCAGACACGGGGCTCCTCTCTGAGTCTGCCGTACTCCCTCCTCCTTCTAGAATTTTCTGTGCACGGTCTTGGGCCCAGAGCTGGCAAGGTGGTCGCCTGGCGCAAAGCCCTCCTGCCACTGGCCAGCCAGTAACACCTCCAGGGGTCTCAAGGGCCGCATCTGAGGAGCACACAGCTCTCCTGAGCCACGGCAAGATGCCTGGTTTCAGTTCCGTGTGTTTCTGGAAGGAGCCAAGGAGCAGGTGCATGGTTTTGGAGAAGCACCCCCCTCCCGCCTAGCGTCCGTGCCTTCTCAGTTCCGGGCCTCCCACCCAGACTTCTGGCTCGAGCAGGTCATGGCCCAGGGCCCGCGAGGTCATCCCCACCTTTGAGCGCTCGGCCCCCTTACCCTCAGGAACGGCCAGCAGGTGGAACTCAAGTCCCTTTCTTCTAGTTTGGAAGAAAAAGCAGGAGAGAGGAGGCCCAACTCGCAACAGTCTGCGGGGCCAGGGAGCTCCTTCCCCTTCTCCCTGTGTCCAGGTGGGCCAGCCAGTCCTGGCCTATGACCCCGAGGAGCCTCTTCTCAGGCTCCACAGGCCTCTGTCCACGGCACCTCCGTCCCCGGCCTCCTCCCGGCACAGAGTGGAGGGGGCCCCAGCGGCCCCGCGCTGCGCCTGTACTGTCCCCCAGGGCCGGGGACGGCGTCTTGGCAGCCCCGCCCCGCCGCGGCCCTGCCCCTCCCAGAGGCTGCACACCGTCCTCCACCCTGACACAGAATCCGGGCAGGAAATGGGTGGCTCTGCAGGCTCAGCAGGTGGTTTGCCGTCCTGGGCCAGGGGGACCTTGACCGTGCTCCCCCCCCCACCCCCGCCCTCCGGCGGCTTCCAGCGTTGGGACTCAATGGGAACGGCCTTGCATGAGGTCGGTGCTTATCTGACTTGCGTGCCCTGGCACCAACCGGGCCTGCAGCCCGCCCCCCGCCCCGCGCTTGCCGAGGCCGAGCGAGGTGAGCGCCAGACAGCCCTAGCGCCGCCCCCAGCAGCTGCCGTGGCCCCCAGCCTGTCACGTGCTGGGGCTTGGTTTCCTCGGGGGGGTGGGGGGTATGGTGTGGTTGAGATGAGGAAACGGGTCACCGCGGAGACTGTCCACCTTCTTCCTGCCTGTCCTCCCTGGTGACTTGTCAGGTGTGTGGGAGTGGACACATGCGGGCCGGCCGCCCAGTGCCTGACGGAGGCAGCACAGAAGAGCAGTGGAGAGATTCCTGGCCCTCCAGGTCCTGGCTGTGTGACCTTCAGTGAGTTACTGGACCTCTCCGGGCCTTGCTCCCACATCTGCAAACCGGGGGGAACGACTGTGATGCTCACCTCAGGAGGTTGTCGTGAGGACGACAGCCCAGGTGGACCTGTCCGCTCGGTGCTCAGCACATGGCAAGGGCCCAGCAGGGCCTGGAGGTGTAAGGGCTCGGATGATGCCCCCTGCCCGGGGGAAGGCAGCAGAGCTGAGCGGCTGGGCTCTGCTGGACCCTTGCCGGCACCCCAGGGCTGGGACACCGTGCTGCCTTCAAGTCTTTTCTGCCTGCTCATCCTCTTTCCAGTGAATTGCCATTTTTCGGTAAAAGTCGGGGTCTCTGTTACCGCCTACCTGTGGAACCGCTCTGTGATGCTGAAATGTGAAAGCAGCAAACACCATGTCCCAAATGACACTAATCTGACTTCAAGCCTGCACCTCCCAGACGGGGGTTACCCACATTCGGTTTCTGGGGACCCCTTCCCACTCCATGGGTTCACGGGGAATCCCAGGGTCTTGGGAGGGAAGGCCTGGGCCATAGTCCTGTGCGGTCGCCGCGGCTCCTTCTGTTCCCTGAGCACTGGCCCTCCCAGGGGCTCCGAGATGCCCCCGAGGGGGATCCCCTGTTCTGCTCTCGGCACCAGGAAGCTCTGTGGACTCACCCACAGAGGGGACCCTCGCCGCGTCCCTGGGCAGTCTGGCCTTCCCTCTGGAGGAGCCAAGGCCCAGGCTCACTCCGGGCGGGGCCCCAGGACCCTGAGGGGATTCCGCTTGGGCCTGGCAACCCTGGTCGCAACAGAAAGCCACTCGCGTCCGTCCCGTCCCTGCTTCTGCCTCTGAGAGCCTGGCCGAGGAGCGCGAAGGCCTGTGTGTTGTTCTGCGGGTGGGAGAAGGGGGCGTTCCTCCCATTCTGCTCCTTACGTGCAGTGAATCTTACAGCCGTCCCGCACCCCGCACCACACACGATGCCCGAGTCGTGGGCGGGCCAGGCTGCAACCCAGGCCACGGTCCCCGGCCGCCCGCCCGCCTGCCCCTCTGCGCTGACCCAGGCACCGGAGGATCCCGCCATGCCCCCTTCGCTCGCTCAGAAAGACAACGCTTCATATTGAGTTTTCCGAGCGCTGTCCTGTCACTTTCTCGGATTTTACTCCCGGTCGCTCCCAGGCCCGCACGTTCCCTGGACCGCCCCGCTCCCGGGCTCCCGGGTCTGCTCCCGGGCCCCAGATGCCCAGACTGCCCCTGGGGGTGGCACTGTCCCTCCTCCTGTGAGCGGTTACAGAGGCGACAGGGATGAAAAGCCTTTCCCTGCTGCCCGTGCCCTCCAGGCCGCGCGTGTCCCTTGGCCCGCGAGCCGCCCCCACTGGACTCTGCTGGTCGCGCTGGGCTCTGGGGGGCACCGGCCCCTCGGGACCCGCCCCTCTGCACCACACCCCCCGGGGCCCTGCCTCTGCTCACTTCCTCCTTCAGGATGCGGGGTGGACTCGCAGGCAGGGGCCGTGTCTGGACAGATGCCCAGACAAGCCTCCAGGGGCCTGTCGTTAACAAGGGGAACAAAGAAATTGCTCAGAATTTTCAGACGCGAGCGAATCCTAAGATGACGTCTTTTATTTGTCAGCAAAGAAGAAATTCCAGCGGTCAGGCTTTATTTACTTTCAGCTCAATGGAAATGGACGTTTTAATGTGAGGGGAAAACATGGGGTCCTCGTGTCTCCATCTCCTCCCGCCCTTCTCCACCCCCGGTTATGGCACAGCAACACCTTTCTTGCTGAGCAGAATGACATCCTCAGACTCTTTCTCAACCCAGTGCCTCAGGCTGCCAGTGCGAATCGGAGGGTGCTGCCTGCCATTCCGGGGCAGCTGAGCGTCCTCGGCCCTGACCACCGGGGCCAGCCACGGGTGCACGCCTGGCCCCCGCCTCCAGGCCCACTCAGCTCCAGCGGCCAACGAGGCCTGGTCCTCTCGTTCTCGCTCAGGGGTGAAAGATTGCTCACAGCAGGGGCGGCAAAACTTCTCTGCAGAAGGTCAGGCACATAGACTCGAGGTGTGCTGGCCGCGGCCGGACACAGCGCAAGGCAGGCGGGTCGACGTTCCAATCAAACTTTATCAGTTCTTGCCCGCCCCCGGGCCGCCGTGATCCCCGGGTCTTGGTGAGGTGGGTCCCTCCGTCCCTCCCACGTTCCCCTGCGCCAGAGCACGGCCGCACCTGCCCCGTCAGCCCGTCCCCGCAGCGCCCCTGGGCCCGGCCTGCTGCGTTCCCGGCTCTCCTCGGCCCAGATGGCCCACCGCGTGCTCCCTGGACTGGCGGGGGGTGGGGGGCGGGGGGCAGAGGGACCCCCGTGCAGGGTCAGGGTCCACAGGGGAGCAGGGGGGCTGGCCGACACCCCCAGACATGGCTCCCCAGAGCCCAGCACCCTGTGTGGACGGTGCAGTGGGGACTACGGAGCCACAACTGGGCTCTCCTCAGGGGGTTTATTTTTAGGGGATTGCTTTATGTATCTTTGGCCAAATGGGTTTTTATGTGCTTGAATGCAGCCCCTCTGGGCCTTGGCCGCCACCCCCCCCACCTGCCCTCCAGCCCCCAGCAGACATCCTGAGGCCCGGGAGAGGGCAGGAGGGAAACCTGGACGTGAGATGAACCCGGAACCCCTCTGAGCCCCTGTCTCACAGCATAAAACCTGTGCCCTTCTTACAGAGTTTTGGGAGGAAGAAATAAAGGAGATACTCCATGGACCCACCGTGCAGGTAGTACTTACTGAGTCCTCCAGGCGCACCAGCTGGGTCAGTGACTCCATCCCTGGGCCCCACCTCCCCTCCAGATTCTGCTCCCAGTCCTGCACCCTCGCCTGGACGCCGACCTTTGTCACTTCCTCCCTGAACAGCCCTCTCACCCTCCTGCTCCACCCAGTCCAGCTGGAGAACACCTTAAAAAATACAACCGCTGGGGCGCCTGGGGGCTCTGTCAGTGAAGCGTCTGGCTCTCGGTCCCCCCCCCCCCCGCAGGTCCTGATCTCAGGGTCGTGCGACTGAGCCCGGAGTCGGACTCCCCGCTCAATGCGGAGTCTGCTTGAGACTCCCTCCCTCCCTACCGCGCACACACTCTCTCTCTAAAATAGATAGGCAAATCTTTAAAAAAAAACACACAAAAAACAGCTTTACTGAGCGAGATCATTCACATACCGTGTAATTCATTCATTTAAATGTATAATCAATGGCTTGTAGTATGTGGTGTATTCACAGTGTGCAACCATCACCACAACCCACTTGAGAACATTTCTCTCCCCAAGAAAGAAGCCCCGTGCCCCTGACAGTCACTCCCCATTTCTGCGTCCACCCCCAGCCCCAGGCAACCACAGACCTCCTGTCTGTATGGATTCGCCTGTTCTGGACGTTTGGTATTAATGAAATCATACAGCGTGTGGTCTTTTGCGACTGGCCTCTTTCCCTGCGCGTGATGTTTTCGAGGACCATCCACACTGTTCCATGTCATCCCGCCTCTTTCTGGCCAGTCATGCTCCATGGTTCGGAGATGTCCCATTTCCTCACGCCACTTGTCCGACGATGGACCGGACACCCAATGAGTTGTTTTTGCCTTTTGGCTGTTCTGAGTAATGCTGCTAGGAAATTCGTGGACAAGTGTTTGTACGGACATACGTTTTCATTTCTCCATATATCTAGGAGTCCTATGGTAACTGTAAGTTTAACTTTCTGAGGAACTATTTCCCAGAGCGCCTGCCCCATTTCACAGTCCTCTCTGTACAGCTCGAGGGTTCCGGTTTCTCCACATCCTTGTCCACAGTTGGTATTTCTCTGTCTCTGTCTCTCTTCTCTTCCTTTCTTTCTTTACTCTCTACTTAGTGGGGGTGGAGTGGTGTGGTTTTGATTCGCATTTTCCCGATGCTAATGTTGTATTTTTCCATATGCTTGTTGGCCATTGGCATATCTTCTTTGGAGAAACATCTATTCAGATCTTTCGCCCATTTTAAAATTAGATTAATTATCTCGTTATTGAATTGTAAGAGTTCTTCGTGTATTTTTAAAACAAGTCTGTTAATAGATACTTGATTGGGGAAACTTTTTCCCATTCTGTGGTTTGTATTCTTACCTTCTTGATAGTGTCCTTTAATGGCCTTTAGAAGTACAAAAGTGTTTCATTCTCATGAAGTACAGTTTAGCTGTTTCTCCTTTGGTTGTTTATGCTTTTGGTATTGTATCTAAGAAACCATTGCCTAATCTGATCTCACAAAACTTATACCTATATTTCCCTCTAAGATTCATCATTCTAGCTCTTACATTTAGGTCTCTGACCCATTTGGAGCTATTTTTTGTGTATGGTGTGAGGTAGGGGCTACATGAATATCCAGTTGTCCCAGCGCCATTTCTTGCAAAGACTATTCCGTCCCTATTGAGTTGTATTGGCACGCTTGTCAAAAATCAATGGA